AGCATATACCCGAGGACTAATTATAACTTACATGGGGAAGAAAAATAATAATAAGAAACAAAATAAGTCTAGACTAGAGGAAGAACACAAAAGATAGAATCAGAATTACAGAAAGAACCATGAAAAAAAGAAATTAAAAAAATCAAATAGATTTGATGAAACACAAAATGAATTTATTGGAAAAAGATGGAACTGGCACAAAAAATTAAAAATGCAAAACATTTTTTTTTTGAAAATGCAAATAAATCAGGAAGATGGTTGGCATATAAATTGAAAAAAGAGAGGGGGAAAAGATACATTGATTAATAGATCAGAAAGGGACCCTTTATTAGCAGAATGAGGATAAAAAATAATAAGAATATTATGGGAAACTGTATGACCAGGAGAAAGTATCAGAAGATAAAATACAACAATATTTGGAACAATCTGAACTTCCGAAAGTACTTGAAACAGTTAAGAGTAGGGGTTTGAAACCTTTAACTCTCAAAGAGCCATTTGTACCGGTTTCCCACAGGAAAAAACTGGGAGCCACAAAACTTGGGAAGGCGTGGCTAACTCAATGTCACTCACTGCCACCCAGTCACAAAGCCCTTCTATGTCTCTCTCCCCCTCCCACTCTCTCTCCCTCTTCTCTCTGTATCTCCCTCTCCCTCTCTGTATGTGTCTCTCTCTCCCTCTTTTCCCCTCTCCCTCCTCTCCCCCCCTCTCCTCTCCCCCTCTGTATCTCTCTCCCTTTCCCTATCTTCCCCTCTGTGTGTGTGTCTCTCTCTCTCTCACCTCTAAGCCAAGCCTAGGCCCAACCAACAAGCTCTCCTTGGGGCTCTTCGCTACTCCTTTTATTTCTTCCTTTTGGAAATCTGGGCTGGCTGAGGAATGAGCACCAGCCATGGTGGAGGTTTCCCTTCAGGCGACCCTCCTCCTCCCTCTCCTTCTCCTCTCACAACCCCCTGGCTGGCTGTGGTGGGGCTGGAAGGGTGCACACACACGGGGACACTCTCCTCAAGTAAGTGCCAGGCTCAACCAAAGCGCAGCAAAGGTGCGTGTGGGGCAGTGGTCTCTTGCCTTGGGCAGAGGATTGGACTAGAAGACCTGTATGATCTCTTTCAGCCTTATGATTCTATGATTCTGGATTTAAATGGGATGGACATTGCATGGTGACCACAAATGCAGATACAATCTTGATATGAGAAAGATGCTAAAATGTATGGTTTTAATAAAGAATTAACAGAATTGGACCAGATACTAACTGGAATAGATGAAAAATTGATAAAAGAAAATATAGTTTAATACCCAATAAATAACAATATATTTTCTTTATCAATTTTTCATCTGTTCCAGGAAACAATGATTGTTTGGACTAAATTTTTTGGATATGCAATAGAACTAGATAAATGGCAGAAACTGTGGGATAGAAATGTTAAACTTACTATGTCAACTGCATCCAAAGAAAATCTGTATAAAATGATGGCATTTTGCACCAACAAGATTAGTGAAAATGTATAAGGATAAATCTACTAAATGTTGGAATTATTTTATCAATGGCTAAACAATAAAAACAGAAGTTAGAAAGAAAGGGACATAAAAAGGATAAATGTTAAAATGGAAATTTGTTAAAACGGACGAACAAAATATTGTCATTACAGTATTAATGTTATTGTGATACATGTTATTGTAAAACTCTGATTATGATTGCCTAAGAATAATTGTACCCAGACAAAGAGTTTGATTGAAATGGAATTTGTATATATTATACCAATAAAACAAATAAAACTTAAAAAAAAAGAATTTATGAAATGGAATAGCCATAACAAGTCAGCCAATGGGAACCGTTTGGTGACTGAGACACAGGATTTGTTGTGAGACATGTCAGGCAGCTCGGAGCCTGGGCGTGGCTTAGCTTAACTGTTCTGTGTTTGTTTGCCCTTACTCCTTGCTTCTAGTTCTAGTCCTTGCTTCTACTTCTTGTCTTCTTGTACTTGCTACTTCTTCTACCACGTTGCAAGAGCTGCATGGGTGTTGTATACATACCGTATTTGCCGGCGTATAAGACGACTGGGCGTATAAGACGACCCCCCAACATTTCCACTCAAAACATAGAGTTTGTTATATACTCGCCGTATAAGACTACCCCCTCTTCCACACACCTTCCACTTTTGCACTTTTTTTTTTTTGACGCACTTTTCTGCTTTGGACAATTTTGAAATGAGCTAATCCAATTTTGAACCAAGAATATGCAAATAGCTATGGAGTTTAGAAATGAGTTTTAAAAATATTTTTCATTGCTTACCATTAAGCGTAAAATATGTTGTAAATAAAATGAGAACACAGGAAACGTTCTCTTCTCAATACAGCTGATCTCTCTCTCTCTCTCACACACACACACCAAAAACCCGGACACTGAAAAGGCTGCCAAGGAACAGTATATTCAATGCCTTCTCTTTAATCAAGAAACAAGGAATTCCTTAGAATCTTTTTTTTTCCCCAAGTGGCCCTCTTTAAAAAAAAAAAATGGAGGTAACACTTTCATTCAAAAAGTCTTCCAGTATCTGGAGTCGCTCAGACATATTGAAGTGAGGCAGGAGAGTAAGTGAAATTAGAAATGATCCAGCTACCGTTTTCTTCCCCTCCCGCCCGAAGGCCATTATCTCCACGTCAAAACGAACGAGGGGAGGCAAAGAAGCCAAACATGCTAAAAAGGATCTCTTTATTTTCCTACACAAGGTCACACCTACTTTTCCGCATTCAAAGGACAACCTCTCCTCACCACCACCACACACACACACACACCTCAATACCCGCAAACAATGTTCTGGGCATTAATCACCATTGCTACATTAACCTGGTAAATTTATACCCTGCCTCCCCCAGTGTTGCTTTGACGGCAGGATTTCACACAGCGGGGCGCTCGCTCTCTTCTCCGCTCTCCCACCGTTCGCACATGTTGGAAGCACCGTAAAACCTGATAACCCACCCGGGGGCTCCCCCATCCTTAACCTACAGCCGCCCGCATGCAAAACCTGCGTGCAAAAAGAAAAAAAGAAAAAGAAAAGTACGCCGCACGTGAGGATCTTCGAATCCTCTCCTCCCCACACCGCTAAGGAAGGAAGAGGGGGAAAGGTTGCGCAGCGCGTGGCGAGTGACACCCGCCACACACACACACACACACACACACCGCTCCCCCCCCCAGCCTCCCTCCCGGCTGCAACTCAAGCTCGAAGTGGGAGTCGGAGTCCTCCCGGCGTATAAGACAACCCCACCACTTGGAGGCATGTTTTTCAGGGCAAAAAAGTCGTCTTATACGCCGGCAAATACGGTACATGCATCATGTTTTATATTATTGTATATAAAGAAGTTTCTTCTATAAATGAATCCTGCTGAATTGTTTACTTGTGTGCTGGCTGGATAGCTACAAACTCTGACACTCTTGACCATTAGAGATGAGCTGGCCTCAAAAGGGACTAAACTATATGTCCTTAATAGTCTGTGGATGCAGGTTCTACAAAGGAGCCATGATGCCAGGTAGGCAGGGCACTTTGGGTTCCTGAAAACCCTGCACCTCATTAGGAGTCAGTTTGGTGGTCCCTGAGGTCCAAAAGGTTGGCGAACCCTGTATTAGATCAATAAGCTATATCCTTGATTTTCACAATACTTTACTGAAAAACTACACTGGCACAGAAGAAGTGACACCAGCTCTGAATTTCCTGCACAAACACAAGCTTACTTATTTCTCCCTTTCCCTCTGGGCCACCCACAACTGTGTCCACCAATCACTTCTGTTCATTTTGTTATGAAAAAACAGCTAGCCATGCTCAGTGTCCTTGGAAACTTCCAGAGATGCCTCAGTTGCCAAGATACCATTCCCCCACCTTTGCATTCCATTCCACCACTGCCTCCTTTTGTCAAGTTGTGAACAGAGAAAATGTAGGTGAATCCATTATATATCCAGGTATGCATATACTAAAATATATTACTTAGTTAATAACATGTAATTATACTAAACCTCTAGTATCTCTGTTAACAATTATATAAGAAACATGTCTAAAAAAAGATTTGACCCTTTTCCTATGCTAAATTAACCTTATGGGAAAACTAAATTTTAAAAATTGGGGAAAATATGATATGGAAACATTAGTCAGAACTGGAGATACTGACTTTGGATCAATTGATAAATGACGAAGATGAATTTCTAACACGTTAAGAGACAATTATCCTCTACCAGATGTAACCCAATGACAACATATAGTTATAATATTTGTTAATAACATCATTTGGACTAGCATTATTCTTAGATTCTGAGACAACTAAGATACTAGAACAACTTCTTAAATCTTTTGACACTAAAAAGATTGATCTCTATACTTACCAATAAATATTATATGGAAATTCTAAGAAATGAATGGAATAAAGAATTAAAGATTTCTATATTTCCATTTGAGACAGTTGAGTCATGTGATCTCAATTTCTATTTATTACCTCGGACAAAATTCTTGGGAATCCGTTCTTGATCAGACAAAGCTGGGCTTTTCTTGTCCTAACTCTATTTGTGGAAGAAAGCCAAAATGCACCTTTAACTGCAGAATTTCTCTAAAACGATTTTTAAAGAATGATACAAAAATGATCAACTCCTGCGACCTTCCGAAGAATGCAAGATGTACAAACCAACTACAGTCGCTAGCCTCAATGGCAGAAGGTAATGAACTTGGTGGGATTTAAGAGGCGCTCTCCTCAGGGATTCAATATAGAGCTCACGCGTACTTTTGGTGTCTTATACATATCAGCATCACTCAAGTGAGCGACGGGCAATCGGCGCTAGATTCTCAGATTGACGTCACTTTGGGACGTGACGCCGGGAGAACACGCAAACAGCTTTTTCGAGCTTGTCGCGGAGAACTGCCTTTCTCTACACTAAAACAGGCCGCCTCAGGCTTGATTTTCACCCATGAAATTGATAAATGACGAAGATGAATTTCTAACACGTTAAGAATTTGTAGAATTTTTACCTTTGTTTCTTCCTTGTGCTCGCTGGTTCCTTCCCCTGGAGGGCGCTATCCAAAGAGGTCACCTGAAGAATTAGTCCCGACCCACTCCTGTTTATTCACAGTCGCCTGTTATCAAAATGGCCAAAAATAGAAATCGAAGGGCGGCGCATGCTCAAAGCGCTAGTCTTTTTTTTTCTCCACTGCGCCGGACAAAGTACGCCCAAAGGGGGATGAGGACAATGGGGAAAGGATGCTGGGAGCTGTTGCGCTTCCTCTTACTAATAGAAATCTCTCCGAGAAAGGAATCTCTCGCCCAGGAAGAAGGAAGGTTGCAATTTAATGTCCTGATTTTTTCAGATACAATCGGGTAAACCTGGGCAAAAGGTAAGTATGGTGTAAGGCTGAAGATTGGGAATACAAAGCTGACGGTAAGAAGCATCTTTCGGTAGCGAATTCTGGCATGGAAATTCTTTGTAAAAAGGCACAGCTGAACGAAACTAATGATTCAGTAAAGCAACCAGCCGTTCCTCTTTTTCTGCCTAATGCGTAGAGCACGAAACAGAAAAGCAGGCCATTTCTCTGGATCCTGCACAGAGTAGGGGGGTTGGACTAGACCTCAATGTTTCTTCCAACTTGATGATTCTACAATATCTCTGCAGCTGCATAAATGTAGGGATTAAAACTACTCATACTAAAATCCAATTAATATTTGAACATAGAATTATGCCATCACCAAGCATACTAATTACAGGTAGTCCTCAATTTACAATCACAAGAACTAGAATTATCATTGCTAAGCAAGGCAATCAAGTGAATCACATTCGATTTTACAACCTTTTGGACACAGTTAAGTGAATCACCTACATGAATAACATAGCCATTAAGCAAATCTGGCTTCTGCTAATGGCTGCTGTGTCAGAAACTAGCTGGAAAGGTCACAAATAGGGATCACATAACCCTGGAATTCTGCAACCAGTTGCAAAGTGCCCAAAGTTTGATCACATGACTGGGAATACTGTGATGATCATAAGTGCAAGAACCAGTTGTAAATTGGTTTGACTGCTGTACATGGTGTTTGAACAGTTGCTAAATAAATGGTTGTAAGTCAAGGACTATCTGTACTACTAGAACACAGTCTGATATAATGTTTTGACAGAATAAGGATGACTGGTTAGCAGTGCAAAATGTAGGTGTGTCACAAATAACTAGTCCTTTAACTTCTTTTGTTATAATTTGTTAGAAACAGGAATTTTGGTTGTTAGTAATGAATTGTTACTGTCAAAAGAAAATCGGTATAATTATCCTGAAAATGAGGCACATTCATAGAATCTAGATATGAATAAATTGACTGTTCCACAAATTGCTATTTAATACAGGTAGCCTTTGACCTAAGACTACAATTGAGCTCAAATTTTCTGTTGCTAAGTAAGACACTTGTTAAATGAATTGCATCCCACTTTACGACATTTTTTGCCATAGTTGTTAAGTAACTCAGGTTGTTAAACACATCTGGCATTGCTTGTCTGAAGCCAGCTGGGAAGGTTACAAATGATGATCATATGATCCCAGAATACTGCAACTGTTTTAAATACACACGTTACCAATGGGAATGCTGCAACGGTCATAAATTTAAAAGAAACTGTCAAAACTCACTTTTTCAGAGCTGTTCTAACTTTGAACAGTTAGTAAATGAATGGTTGTAAATTGAGGGCTACCTGTACTTGTTCGTTACTGAACACAATTTTATTCTCTAAAACTTTTGGATAGTAGAAATAAATCAGTCAATATTATCAGATTTAAAAATCAGAATAACCAGATTCAGTAGAAATTAAAGAAAAGAAATGCACTGCATTTAAACAGCTTTATTAACATCAGTGTGCAAAATACGGTATTCACATATACGCACCCTATGTTAGCTTCCTGTAGATTAGAAAACAGAGCAGGGTGAATGATCTTTAGTAGAACCTATACTATCTATGCCAGAGTCTCATTGTTTTCTGAAGCCAATTGTTTCTATACTGTTTTTAAAATACAGTTGCTACTTATATAAACGAATACAATATAACTGTTAGAAATAGAATGGGTTCAAATGCCACATGATTAAAAAGTTGATGTAAAAAGTATGAGGTCCCTTTTGAATTTTTTGAATTGCAGATTTGAAAAGGTATAGTTAAACATTCTTTTCCCTAGGATATATCCATACAGAACTAAATAAGAATGCAAGAAGAGTATTCCGTACACTTCTAATAGGAAAAACCTATGCTAAATTTCTCCCACAGCAATGATTCTGAATGGGCCAATTCAAGATTTGATTGATTTGATCTGAATAATTGGACTTGTATCCCACTGCAATCAAACATTTATTTTTGGATATACCGTGCTTCTCATAAAATAAGGCCAGGTCTTTTTTTTTTTTTTTGAGCCCTGAAAAATGGCTAGGATGTCTTTTCAGGGGTGACTTAATTTCTTCCCCCACACGCACCCCACCCTAGAGCGCCCCATGCGCACTCACCTCTCCACAAGGCTGTTTCTATCAGCCGGCTGATAGAAGCGGCTGGTAACTCTGCCTTTGGGGAGCTTTCATCGGCCGATAAAAACAGGTTCGTGGCAAGGGGAGTGCGCGTGGGTGCTCACCCTGAGGCTGCTTCTAAAAGCCGATAGAAGCGGCTGGTGACTCTGCCTTTGGGGAGCTTCCATCAGCCGATAGAAATGGCTTCGTGGCAAGGGGAGTGCACGTGGGCGCTCGCCCCGAGGCCGCTTCTACTGGCTGATAGAAGTGGCTGGTGATTCTGCCTTCGGGGAGCTTCTACTGGCCAATGTTCTATCAGTAGTAGATTGGGGTATTCTAGCCTAGGCTACCTGCAGGGCGCTCCTAAAGGCAAGTTTTCTCCCTCCCCTTCCCCCCCATTTCTCTTCACCTCATGTAGTTTTAATGAACGATGTGAGAAATGGCGGGGAAACGCATGGATTAAATAGGCTTAAATTTTGGGGGCAGGGCTTAATTTCCCCTCATGCCTAGAAATCATGCTGGGCCTTCTTATTGGTGGTGGCCGTATTCTTGGAGAAACACGGTACAATATAACAATTTTAAAAATCTGTGGTAAGACTCTAATCCATACGATATAAACCCCAATGAAAAGATGAAACAAATAAAAAACATGAATATATTAATGACTTTTAGTAGCTTATTACTGATATTCTGCAGAAAGAATAATTCCCTTTTTTACTTCTTAACAAATATACTGCAAACTCTGGCCTTTCTTTCTGTATTTTAAGTAGTTAAACTTCTAGGCACTTTTAGAAACAAATAGAAAGGAATGTCCTAATCTAGTCTTAAACATTAATTCTCTGCTTAAAAGAAATATGGTATATATTATATAATATTATAATGCAGTGTTTCTTCATCATTATTATAATCTAAGACCAGTATAAAATAAATTTAAAACAACTGAAGTATAATGCAATGTACTCTTATTATCTAAAAATGGAGCATCAGAGAAAATAGCACTTAGCACAAAATCCCACTCAGTTTGTCCATTTACTGTGATGAGGATTCCCTACCCCAACCTTCTTCAAGTGGTTCATCAATAATGTGATTAGAATTGAGGTAGCATGTTGAAGGAAATGCTAACTGGTGGGCATCTTTTTTTCTTATTTAGATCACAAAGGTTATTACTGAGGTGCTGTTATTACCATATTGTGCCAAAATTTAAAAAGGAGATGGGGGTAGAATCTACCTTATCTGCTCCATAAATTTTGCTAAATATGATTAGCAAACTTTATGCCTATACTTGAATAACTAATTACAAGATTGGCTACAGAAAGAAGCAATACAGATAGTCCTCAACTTATACTTATTTAGTTAATGACTATTCAAAGTTACAATGGCAGTGAAAAAGGTTATTTATGACCATCTTTCACACTTATGACTGTTGCAGCAGTCCTATGGTCACATGATCAAAATTCAGACTCTTGGCAACTGACTCATATTTATGATTGCTGCAGTGTCCCAGGTCATGTGATCCTTTTTATGATCTTATGACAAGCAAAGTCAATGGTACTAAGTTAACAACTGTAATGATTCACTTAACAACTGAAGCAAGAAAGATTGTAAAATGGGGCAAAATTCCCTTAACAAATATCTCGCTCAACAACAGAAATTTGGGGCTCAATTGTGGTTATAAATCGAGTACTATCTGTACTGGGCAATAAGCAGGCTGGTTTTCATCTCAATCATCCCAACATATAAATAACAAGAAAAAAATTAAGGAAACAGTTGGTCCACTAAAGAGAGAAGATGCCAAGGAAGTAACAGGCAACAGAGAGAAAGCAGAACTGCTTAACTCATTATTTGCATTGGTCTTCATGCAAAAAGGAACTATAGCCCAACCTACCAAAAACATAACTGTAAAAGACAGACTAAAAACAAATGTTAAAATAAGCAAAAAAAAAAAATAGTAAGAGAATACCTGTCTGATCTTGATGAATACAAATCAGTGGGACCTGAAGGATTACATCCCAGAGTTCTAAAGGAGCTGGCAGATTTCATCTCCCAACCACTGTACCACATCTTTCAAAAATCCTGGAGCACCAGGGAACTACCAGAGGACTGGAAAAGAGTTGATGTGGTTCCCATCTTCCAAAAAGGAAAGAAAACAAACCCAGGAAACTACAGACCAATCAGCCTAACATCAATATCCAGGAAGATACCAGAAAAGATAATAAAATAATAGATCTGCCAACATCTACACGAGTAAAGTTATAACTAGTAGCCAGCATGGGCTTGTTAAAAACAGATCATACCAAACCAATTTTATTTCATTCTTCAACATAGTGACTAAATTAGTAGACCAGCAAAATACTGTGGACATAATAGACTTCAGCAAGGCATTCAACAAAGTAGATCACAATCCACTTCTTGGTAAGCTAGAAAAAAAGTGGGATAGATAGCATCACCACCAGATAAATTCATAACTGGCTGACAAACCGTACTCAATGAGTAGTCCTTAATGGGTCTATGTGTCAGATCCGTGTATCTGCCATTCTTCAATGGAAGAAGGGAGGTGGGGTGAAGTTTGTACAAGTAATCCTTTTTGATGTAACCTGAATATATTAAATCTTATATTGATTC